TTTTGGCATTTGACTTCTGAATAGGATCATTACGGTTTCGAGCGATGACCTTAATTCAGTAATTTTCAATATTTTTAGCCCCGATGTCACCACAGCGAATTGCACTCCTTCTTATCATCGGGTTCTCGTCGATTAGCTGCAAATCTCCAGACCTTTCGAGAAGGGTTGTTCACGCGATAAACTGCGGTAGGTTCATCTAGAACTTCGAAATTGCAACGTAAAACTTTTTGAGCCTCTGAGACTCCTAAAAACCTCTAGAATTTGTTTTAAACGACTTTGCACTATTTCATCTCCAGTAACGCGAAGAATGTATTCGATGAACTTATAGACGATCAGCGATCACGTAGGCAAGCCTTCCAAGCTCACACAGAAGGACTCTAGCGTCCTGATTATATTTATGGTCCGGTACTAGGATTCATTAGGAGGTCCTATTCATGACTCAGACTACCGTATGTGTAAGGATGTGGGGTTATATTATATTATCCGTAGAAATCCTGAGCGAACCGTAACGGTAACCCTGACGGTGATGGTATTTGGTCAGGCTTCCAACCTCTTACTGCGCGATCTGTGGCATTTGGCTTGCTCGAGTGCCTTTTGACGTAAGAAAATACCAATGAACTGTGAGGGAAGTTCAGGCGCTAAATTGAATCTCTGTCCTCGTATATCTAGGGCGAGGAAGACGACAATTTTATTGCATGTTCGGGTCGAATTAAGGAGGGTTTTACGATGAGAAGGCAGCTCAATGGAAATAAAGGTAGAGGTGGTCAGTGGAGCAGGGATGAAGAAGAAACCATGTGAAACGGCCCGGAACCCGAGAAATGGGACCCCTTCCTTGCCCGTTGATTTCGCATTGATGCGACTCTCATCGTTGTGCCCTCTTCAACGCTAACGCTCTCTCTGCTATCTAATCACTCGCCACGTATAGACCTGCGGTAGTAATTAGGTAGTCGGTGGGCATTCCGGGCTAATGGCGCCGAAGGGATGGGAAGGCCGTGCTAGATCGCGCGGGCTTATCATTCGATGAGAATTTCGTGTTGGTCCGCCTGTCTCTCCACTAGGGAAGTTTCCCCTCCTTCGACATTCGTTCATGTCGTGGAATCCTTTTATAACCCAACTAAGAAAGATGCATAACACATTAGTCGATGATAAGCACTAACGTCAATGGACGATAATAGTGAATAAACCCACCGTTTCCGCTTTTACGCTTCTCCTTTGTTTTCTTGAAGATAAAAACAGGAAATTCAGAAGCGATAAAGGAATAAGGACTCAACGACAGAATTCAGAACTGATGAACATTAAATGATGGGGTTCTGTTGATTATTCAGTCAGATGAAAGGCATTCCAACCGAGTGAACACAGAAGGGAGATACTCACCTCATCCGATCAATCTGACTGAGCCTTCGCTGACTTCCTCCATATCACCACTAAATAATAGCACATATTATTCAGCAGTGATATGGAGAAAATACAGTACTTGTATAACTTTAGGTCATTCACAATGTGTTCGAGCTAGCTAACATATTGCTTATATTGCTTTCCAATAGCATTATTGAGCATTCAGGCGGATATCGTCACGTTGGAGCATATGGAATCATTTATCAAGAGGATCAGAATCCTGTTGGCATAGTCTCTGATTATGGTTCTCGCTACATCTTCCCGAATGTACCGATAGAGGACCGAAAGCTCTATGAAGTGAATGTCTTCGCTGTAGAGTACTTATTTCTCAACCCTACATAATTCTTTAGACGGAACGTTATCACAACGGAGATCTCACATACACGTTTGACATTGCGAAGGATGGCGAATACGTGATCGTGTTGAAGTTCTCCGAAGTATATTTTCAATCTTCTGGACAAAAGGTCAGAATTTATAGAACATTCCTTATTCACGAAGCACGAAACATGAAAGCAGACAACACTTATATGTAGCGGTGCAACTGCGAGGCTAGTGTGAGTTGCATGGATGGAAACTTGTGAATGGGCAACAATTATAATTATGGCTGACGAATACGGGGAGCCTAGTGTGAGTTGCATGGATGGAAACTTGTGAATGGGCAACAATTATAATGAAGTGAAGCGCTGGCCGGTCTGATTGCGAAGGAGTCGTAAAAACTCACTAAGAACGGCTGACGGGAGCCATAAATCTGGCCGCTGATTTTGGATTGTGCTCCAAGCTATAATGAATAAACCTAGTGCACGAAACAGAAGAGCTCAGAAAAGGATGAGGGAGAAGAGGCAAGGTGGGCACTAACGCGATGCCAAACAACAAGGCTGGAGCGTCCATTCCTTCAACGCCGATAACCACATCACTCCTAGTGTGCCTTTTATCAGAAACACCATACATCAGCTGTTAACACATTGGCGACAATGTCGCCCGATGCCGGGCGACACCCCTTGAATTTTATTCCTTTGCGCATATTCCAAATTTTGAGCGGTGCTATATTAACCCGGAATACGTTGTCAAACTTGTAATGGCCACGTTCTTTGAACATCTTTCACAGTGAAAGTTTTACAGAAGGGTTGCTTGGAATTGCTTCTTCAGTGATAAGGTTGTTCTTTCTTGATGTAGAAAGCTGCCTTTTTGTATGCTATTAGCTAGCTCAATGATACAACAATTGGCAAAAAAGAGATTTGTGTTCAACCTCATTTGTGGATTCTACAGTGGAAAATTGGAATTTTCCGAGAGCGTTCCGAAGTTTCACCTTTGCGGGACGGGGAGATTTTTGCTTGGTTTGCAGCCATTAAGCATTTGTACGAGACAAATGATGTTTCAGCAGTTTCCGCATTGTGTTCTCATTGATTTGGTATGTACACCGTATGGAAGCGTTTCAGCATTAGGACGCAATTTTCGGGAACACCCAAAAACTGCTTGGTCGCCAATGTGTTAACAGATGACTTTATGTGCCCCAATCAAGCAAAGGTCTACCAGGATGCTGCTCTACCTCTACCTGAACCAGGGATCGCAGACTGGACCCGGCGTTTGAAGTTCTTCTTTGCCTTTGATTGTGATCATCCTTAAATATATTAATATTAAATATTATAAATATTAAATATATTGCTATATCTCAAAAAATTCAGATTTCTTCTTATACCACGTTTTCAGGTATTCCATGTGCATGTGAACGACTTGCCTGTGAAACGAAGTTTAGACATATTCCGTGAATCAGGAGCCACGGGTGTTGCGTACGATCTGTGAGTCCATTTTACGACTATTTGTATTGAATGTGTGTAGCTCGTAAATGCCAGGAGAGCGGATTTATGCAGCCGTTAGAAAAAATGCCCGAGGTTTATTATCGCCATTGGTCAACAACGTGGAGTTTTCGGCTTTGATTATCCTAGATAGGTGCCTGAATTCATGAAGTTGAGTGCCGGATAAAAATCTCGAAACATGAGTAGCACGTGTTTGGCCTGTACAGTGACTTGGCAGGTCTGGCTTTTCCTCTAATCAAGGGGATAAGGATCTCATTAACCAACCCTTATTTTTATGAGCTTTAATCAATGCGCATAAGTATTTTTATCTTCCCAAACGAGCATGGTACCAATGAACGGAATCTCGGCAGGATGGAAGGCTTACTTGGCCTGGGCAAGGTTCAGGTCGAGATT